TCAGAATATTAAACTTGTTTCGGCAAATTCAGATGATAAATAAAACTTTGAAGCTTCGGCATAATTACAAGCAGAGAACGGACTAATGTAACGTCACAGCAGGCATAACAACAGCCGGTGTTTCTTGTGAGTGTTTCCCCGGTACACAAACGCAAAAATACACACACACACACACTCGCGAGCTTCCCCCAGACCAGTAATACAAACGAAAATGTGTCTTCGGGTCAATGTGACTGATTTCGATAGAGCAAGTCACATTTGGTTTAGGCACGAAACATACTACCAGTAGAAATACATTGCTTTCAAAATCGCTCTGTGTCGAATCAAGAGATTATATTTCGTGACTATAACACGAAATGCCGTGAGTGCTTCATCCTCTGAACACCACACGATGGCGACTGTAACGCACATAACATAGGTACGCTCCTCTGAAATGATTGTCCCCTGCAATTATTATTATCCCTCATGGAGTTCGCCATTCAGCTCGCTAACGTTAGCTTAAACAAACGTAACATGCAACGTTAGCCTAATCTAAAATGCTTTACTACGGCGTACCTTTCATGTGGCTCGTCAGCGCAGACTCTCGCATCGTTATGTTGCAAACTTTGCAGGAGGCTACTCGTGGGCTTGACCCTCGTCTTAGCCATGGCTTGTATTTGTCTTCTGCTAGCCAACGCTCGTTGAAACTGCAACCTCCTGGCACACAGTCATCTATCACTCTCATCAGAATGCCCAGGTCACACGTAACACAAACACTTGCAGCAATTTATTTTAAAAGTAAAGCACTTTCAAGCACTTTATCTCAATTTCAAGCACCATTCCCAAAACTCAAGCACTTTCCCAACCTTGAAAACACCACATCAAATTTCAAGCATTTTCAAGGATTTCAAGCACCCGTACGAACCCTGAATATTAGAACTTACGTTTCCGGGAGCTGTTGATAACACTATACTGGTCAAAGGCAAGAGGTCATTAATTTGGTTTCTAAGAGTAACAATTTTATCGTTAAAAAAGCACATAAAATCATTACTACTGAGTGCTCTGGGAATAGAAGGCTCAATCGAGCTGTGGCTCTCTGTCAGCCTGGCTACAGTGCTGAAAAGAAATCTTGCATTATTCTTATTCTCATCTATTAATGAAGAGTAGTAGGCTGCTCTCGCTTTACGCATTGCTTTCTTATATTCATTGAGAGTAATATGCCAAATTAAACGAGATTCTTCAAGTTTAGTGGAACGCCATATCCTTTCAAGTTGTCTCGACTTTTGCTTTATTTTGCGGGTTTGGGCATTATGCCATGGAGATAATCTATGTTGTTTTATTTTCTTCTTTTTCAAAGGAGCAACAGAGTCTAATTGTATTACTCATATATTAATGTCTTTGTAACTTCAGTAAACCACTACCTCACTAATTTCTTTCATTCATCACGGTTCAGTAAACTAAGTGATACATGAACCAGTTTGAAAACAGCTAAGCTCCCTTTCTCTTTTGTCCATACACTTTGCCCTTTCTCTTTTCCATGTGGAAAATGGCAGCTGCATATTCTGCTTTTCTCATCTACTCGTCTACAATGAGAAAATGATATAATTAATTACTAATAATCATTTAAACCTGTTATTACCAATATTTCACAAATTCTTCATGTAAACTTAAGAGCACAGCTGTATGTTGAGTATGTCAACTTTGCTTGGTTCATCTTACTGGGGGGCAGCTACATGGATGTCGGTGCAGTCCACAATCATTGCGCAGTTGAAGGCAGAATGAATTTATTATTGACTCCGAATGAAGCACAACTTCATGTCATACAATACATTGACTTTATTTGTAATTGTGTAAAAAGATATGAGCATTGATTAGCAAGCAGGACCTGCAGGAACAGAGAATGGTGATGGATGGAGCTGGGAAGAGAGAAGAATAAAGAAAACAGATCAACTTTATTATCGGATATTAAAAATTCAATTTCAAAACAAGTTGCCGCTCCTAGTTTTCTAGTATGTAAAGAAAATAAAAGAGAAAAATGTCAGTAACAACACTTTAAAGTAACAACACTTTGAATAATTATCTCTTAATAATTTTCTCTCATCACTCAACTGTCTTTCCAACAAACAGATTGACTCACCCTCACTATCATCACAATGAAACACGTCCAGAAGAATGTCATGCAAAGCTGCCTGCCTTCCTTCCTTTGATTCTCTCTGAACTGCATGATCTTTTTAATGTTTAATGTCAACCATTAGTGCAGATAGCATTAAGTAGAAAAGATCGCCGATGCTAATGTGGCGTTAGCCTACTTCCCGCCCCTTAGCACCTGGTGGAGGGGGCGATAGGCTACTCTTCAAATGTTTCACAAAATACTTACCATCATGACTACTCTTACTGTTTAACATGTTGGTTTACTTCATGTTAAGGCTAATACAAATGACAAGGCTAAGTAATGTGATGCTAACTAACGTGCTCGCTACTAGCTAGGTAGCTAACTTGACTATGTTCCATGCAAAACATGTATATTACCCGATATGTTTGGTCCAACGACTCCTAGTCCTTTCATCAGACGGGAAGCGATAGAACGAGCAAGCAAATTGTATGATCACTTTTGTGATTCCAACCTGGTAGAAAGCACACAGGCATCTTGAAAAAGTGAATTTATTGGAGCAATCTCTTATATTTATTGGAGGGAATAAATCAGTTATGAGATCTTCTTCTTTGCTTTAAGTGCGAGTCGCAACCAGTCTTGGAGCATTATCGCCTATGACATCACTTACGCGACCCAGAATGGACTCTGGGATTTGTAGTCTTTCTAGTTGCGTATTTTTCAGTCTTATATCTCAACAGTTTTACGACAAACTGTGACTTTTTTTTAAATGGAAATGATTGTTTAAGATTGACAAACATCATGTGTGTCATTCGTGGCACAATTCAAACGGGATCAAGATAACCTTTCTCTCTCCATTGACTCCAATGTATAATGTTCCTCTTCCGGGGTCCCATGGACCGGAAGTAGATGGGCGTGACTTCGCCACTCTATAACGGTCTGCTGCTGCGTTCAGAGGCTGTGGGAATTATGGACAAAAAATGGAGTAAAATTGCAAAAAAAAAATTCTGTCTAGAGGAGTCTTCTACTTCTACTTTTACTCAAGTACAAGATCTGAGTACTTCTACTTTTACCCAAGTACAAGATCTGCGTACTTCAACTTATTCACTATATAATGAATGATGAGTTCACGGTGAGTCATCCAATCAACACGGAAACACATTTTTGATCACGTTTGTTTTAATGGACTTTAAATGTTATTTTGAGAGATTGGAAATCAGGTCTAAAAGACGGGAAAAAAAACAATATATTTTTGTATTAATGATGATTATTTTTAAGCTTCTATGACATCCGATAAAAGAATAAGATAGAAGATATTCCAACTGATGAATTCCTTTAAAATGTTAGGTTTAAAATGATTACATGTTCAGGTTTTCATTAAAAGTTTACAATACATACCGATATACACTTGACCATCAGCAGGAGAGGACTCTTTAAAGTAGAGACACTACATACTGATATACACCTGAACATCAGCAGGAGAGGACTCTTTAAAGTAGAGACACTACATACTGATATACACCTGAACACCAGCAGGAGAGGACTCTTTAAAGTAGAGACACTACATACTGATATACACCTGAACATCAGCAGGAGAGGACTCTTTAAAGTAGAGACACTACATACTGATATACACCTGAACATCAGCAGGAGAGGACTCTTTAAAGTAGAGACACTACATACTGATATACACCTGAACATCAGCAGGAGAGGACTCTTTAAAGTAGAGACACTACATACTGATATACACCTGAACATCAGCAGGAGAGGACTCTTTAAAGTAGAGACACTACATACTGATATACACCTGAACATCAGCAGGAGAGGACTCTTTAAAGTAGAGACACTACATACTGATATACACCTGAACATCAGCAGGAGAGGACTCTTTAAAGTAGCGACACTACATACTGATATACACCTGAACATCAGCAGGAGAGGACTCTTTAAAGTAGCGACACTACATACTGATATACACCTGACCATCAGCAGGAGAGGACTCTTTAAAGTAGAGACACTACATACTGATATACACCTGAACATCAGCAGGAGAGGACTCTTTAAAGTAGAGACACTACATACTGATATACACCTGAACATCAGCAGGAGAGGACTCTTTAAAGTAGAGACACTACATACTGATATACACCTGAACATCAGCAGGAGAGGACTCTTTAAAGTAGATTCACTACATACTGATATACACCTGAACATCAGCAGGAGAGGACTCTTTAAAGTAGCGACACTACATACTGATATACACCTGAACATCAGCAGGAGAGGACTCTTTAAAGTAGCGACACTACATACTGATATACACCTGACCATCAGCAGGAGAGGACTCTTTAAAGTAGAGACACTACATACTGATATACACCTGAACATCAGCAGGAGAGGACTCTTTAAAGTAGAGACACTACATACTGATATACACCTGAACATCAGCAGGAGAGGACTCTTTAAAGTAGAGACACTAAATAATGATATACACCTGACCATCAGCAGGAGAGGACTCTTTAAAGTAGCGACACTACATACTGATATACACCTGAACATCAGCAGGAGAGGACTCTTTAAAGTAGAGACACTACATACTGATATACACCTGAACATCAGCAGGAGAGGACTGTTTAAAGTAGAGACACTACATACTGATATACACCTGAACATCAGCAGGAGAGGACTCTTTAAAGTAGAGACACTACATACTGATATGAACCTGCATTATAGGTTCTCTTTTAGCTTTTGAGGGTGTATTTGACTATTTCTAATAATAATCTTTAATATAAATTAATTCTCTATAAATCTCAAAGTAAATCAAGAGTAAAACGATTATGAAAATTGCCCAAAAATGCTGAAAACAAACCGCTCACGTATGTATTCACAGCAACAAACAGACCACTCTGAAAAATTTAGTTAAAAATAACATACATTTTATTAACTTTGAAGTCGTACACAAACAGTTTGTATCAAATATACATATATACAACTTCCTTCAGTAACAAAACGAGGAGAAATGTACACGACCTTCGAGTCCTTTTGGCACTTGACGTTCAGAGGAGTTTAATAACGTGGAAACGCAGGAAAGTGGCAAAAAACACATGGAGAGTATTTGGGGAAATCTTCCTTCAGCGTCCTGACAGTCAAAATACAAATCATTAACATCTGCTGTCCCTACTGACCATGTTCCAAATCACACCACCATTTAAAGCTGCAATTATTAGTCGATCAACAGGAAAGAAAGAAAAAAAATCTTTTAATAATCGCTCACAATTTAAAGTAAGACATGCAAACATGTCACACCATTTAAAAAAAAAATGTAGTAACTTTTGACGCACTAAATCTAAAAAGATATAATCTTATTCATCTCTAAGTGACGTCACGTTGATGTTTGTCATTCAAACAGATCATTTTCTTAACTGGTGGGTTCAGGGACCATCGGAAATCACAAACCTCAGTTATACATGTGGCATTAAATCCAGGAAAAATAGATTTAGGGCAAATGTTTTAGATTATTCACAACAGAGCGATGATTTGGAAATGATCAGTAGTCATGGAGACGTACAGCTGAGGGTAAACCAGTGGTGATGCCTTAAACCTGTGAAACCAGGAGGATTATACCAGTGGGTTTGACATGTTTACCTCGTATACTACAAATCATGTGTCCTTTAAATCACAGCAACATATTGATGATGCTCCGTCTCTCCAGCTTCTTAATGGTTCGTGGCGTCCATCACAGTGAACACGTCTTTCTGAAGTCACATTCCCAATATGAGAAGAAACCAGCAATGGATTACGCTTTCTCTTGGTTATTCAAAAATAATTGTTTTAAAGATATGGCAGGTGTTTTTACTCTTCATTAGACTCAGTTTCTGATTGGACACTGATAACTACGGTGGCCAATTAGGTTAAAAATCTCTCTCTCTGCATCCACCATCACACCTGACTGCATCCACCATCACACCTGACTGCATCCATCACACCTGACTGCATCCATCACACCTGACTGCATCCATCATCACACCTGTTACAAATGTGGAAGTGGAAAAAGCTAAAAAAAAAAAAAAGTTTCCCTCGGGTCGATCGCTCCTCAGATTGTTCTGCTCGCCTTTGCAGATAAAAGTTTAAGCAGTATTGGATTTCTCCACACACACACACATACACACACACACACACACAGCGTCCTGTGTGTGTGTCCCTCCTCTTCACTCCCACCTGTAGAGCTTCAGCATCTTCTCGGTGAGCGACGCCAGGAAGTGCTCGCCGTTCACAGAAAACGGAGAAATGTCCAAAACCGGGAGATCTGCCGGAAGCTTCTGAAGCAAAGACCCACTGCTGGCATCCCACACCTGAGGAAGAGGAGGAGGAAGAGGAGGAGGAGGAGGAAGAGGAGGAGGAGGAAGAGGAAGAGGAGGAAGAGGAGGAGGAGGAAGAGGGGGTAAAGGGGGTAAAGGCAGAGGAAGATAAGAAAGTTAAGTCAACAATTTGTGGCTCTTTCAAAAAAGAAAATATATCAACGAACGCCTAAATCAAATAAATTATAACAAATGTATTTTGAGATTTAGGCTCTTTAAATTAAACCAATAAACGTATATATATTTGTTCTAAAAAATGAAACAGCAAAAACTTAAATTATACAAGTTTGGTCTCTAAAAAAAACTAAATAAAATAATTTTAACTAAAAGAAAAGTTTTAAGGTAACTTTGGGCAAAGATATAATAAATATAGGAAAATGTATACACACACACACACACACACACACACACACACACACACACACACACACACACACACACACACACACACACACACACACACACACACACACACACACACACACACACACACACACACACACACACACACACACACACACACACACACACACACACACACACACACACACACACACACACACACACACACACACACACACCATGGTGGAGTTGGAGGCCTCGTCCCCGGCGCAGACCAGCCCCCCCGCTCCTCCGGGGCTCCTGAACACAGCGTTCTTGGTGAGGAGTTTGCCGGAGGGGCCGGCGCTGAAGCTCTGCAGCGGAGCGACGGAGACCTGCGGCAGCGCGGAGGAGTCCTGCTGGGGGGTGCGCGTCAGAGACATGAGCACGCAGCGCAGAGAGGGGTTGGAGCGGCCTGCAAACACAAGTCAATTAAGTGAGAAAATACGTCCCAAAGATGTGACATTTTTGCTTCAATTATGGGGGAAAAGTCTTAGAAATTACCCCAAAAAGTCAGAAATTTGAGGTTTTCAGAAAAAAGTCAGAATTTTGAGGTTTTCAGAAAAAAGTCAGAATTTTGAGGTTTTCAGAAAAAAGTCAGAATTTCTAGGTTTTCAGAAAAAAGTCAGAATTTTGAGATTTTCAGTAAAAAGTCAAAATGTTGAGGTTTTCAGAAAAAAAGTCAGAATTTCTAGGTTTTCAGAAAAAAGTCAGAATTTTGAGGTTTTCAGAAAAAAGTCAGAATTTTGAGGTTTTCAGAAAAAAGTCAGAATTTTGAGGTTTTCAGAAAAAAGTCAGAATTTAGAAATGTTCCCGAAAAAAGTCTTTGATTCTGATATATTCAGTAAAAATTGCAGAATTAAGAGTTTTTCAGAAACAGAACATTTGGTCTCACCTGGCCTGTAGGTGACGAGGCAGTGGCGGCTCTCCGTCTCCACCTGGATGTCGGTGCAGCCGGCCGTCTCCAGGGGCAACAGGTGAGGTCTGTAGGTCGTCTCGTTCACCTGCTCCCAAAAACACCCGCCCTCCAGAGAGCCGGCGATCAAACCGCCGCACGGGAACGAGCTGGAGGCCGCCCGCGGGACGTAGCACAGAGACGCCACCGGACACCTGGACACAATCAATACGGTCTTAGTGGCTTCAAAGGTCTCCTCGTACATTCCATCTTAATTTTCCACATGTTTTTGGGGTACATTCTAAGACTTTCCCAAATAATTCATACAAAAATGTCACATATTTTTGGGACATGTTCCATAAATCCTTCGAGCATCTCTTGCGACTTAATTTACTTTTTTTATTTCATTAAGTCCATCTCTAATAAGGTAACTTTACATGAGCCTCTCAGAGAAACAGCCCTGGCCCTAGGATCAGTACAGTGTGTGTGTGTGTGTGTGTACCTGGAGCGTAGAGGCTGCAGCTCCTGCACGTGTGTGCTGGTGTCTCTGGTGTCGTAGACTAGCACAGAGCCGTTGCTCAGCCCGGCGTAAACGTAGTTACTGTTGTCCAAACACCAGCAGCAGCTCCACACGGGCTTACCGGCATTATAGGTCTGAACCACCGTGTTGGTCAGCAGACTGACACACACACACACACACACACACACACACACACACACACACACACACACACACACACACACACACACACACACACACACACACACACACACACACACACACACACACACACACACACACACACACACACACACACACACACACACACACACACACACACACACACACACACACACACACACACACACACACACACACACACACACACACACACACACACACACACACACACACACGACATAAAGTAGGTCACTGAATACCCCAATGGTGAATTTAGAAACAGAGGTTGCAAACAAGTGTCTAAATGAAGTGACTAAACGTCATCACGCCCAACGTTAGCCTCCTTTAGCTTAGCGGTGGTGACGTGAAGTCATGTGACCGTGCTGTAGTTCCTTTAGAGCCCAACATTAGCCACCTTTAGCTTAGCGGTGGTGACGTGAAGTCATGTGACCGTGCTGTAGTTCCTTCATAGCCCAACATTAGCCTCCTTTAGCTTAGCGGTGGTGACGTGATGTCATGTGACCGTGCTGTAGTTCCTCTATAGCCCAACATTAGCCTCCTTTAGCTTAGCGGTGGTGACGTGAAGTCATGTGACCGTGCTGTAGTTCCTTTATAGCCCAACATTAGCCTCCTTTAGCTTAGCGGTGGTGACGTGAAGTCATGTGACCGTGCTGTAGTTCCTTTATAGCCCAACATTAGCCACCTTTAGCTTAGCGGTGGTGACGTGAAGTCATGTGACCGTGCTATAGTTCTTTTATAGCCCAACATTAGCCTCCTTTAGCCCAACATTAGCCTCCTTTAGCTTAGCTTAACACCACTTACCAGCCAAATGCTGGTAAATCATGCAAGTGGCTGGTACTGTATGTTGCACGCACCAGCCACAAATAACAATGGCAATCTATTGAGTGGCTGGTAACATTTCAACATTCACTAGGCTAGCCATTTGGCCAGTTTGACCTCTGCAACCGTATTGTTTAATTACACTGGGTCTCTAATGACATCTTTTAAGTCTACTATAAATAAACATATTCCTCTATCCTCTCACTCAAACCCAGTGTAATGGTAACCTGATAAACCTGTAACATGAACGTTACGTGGTCAACAATAAACCTGTAACCTGCCTATAAACCGACAGATGTATTTATGTATGTAACTATGTATTTTTCTACGTTTAACGTTAGCCAGTAGATGGTGGCAGCGGAACGTAATGATTAACGTTACCGACCTTTTTTATGTCATGTCAAGAGTTGGATGTCAACGCCACTCAACGCAAACAAGTGTGACAAGCAAACATTCACTCCTCTTTTCAAATATTCAGTTACAAAGCTAGTAGCAAGCTAAGTTAACATTACATAGCTGATGCTGAGCTAAACATGTTTGCTAACCGTCCATATGCGTTAATGTGACTGACCTCTCCGGGTGAGTTTTCAAGTGCCTGATGACATTTGACGTTGTTGCACCAGCATCCTTGATTTTAATATTGCAGACTTTGCAGTGTGCGCTCCTTTTGTTGGTGCCGCCGGCGTTTTGTTCGAAGTTTTTATAGTTGAACCTAATAACAAGCGGTTCAGCTGCAGGTGTGCCGCCGGTCGCCATGGTGTTACCATGATGTTAATGTTAAAGGTCGGGTAGGTAAGTTTGAGAAACCGGCTCGAGATACACTTTTTGTTATATTCCATGGAATGCTCTTAACATCCCGATAGCCGGCCCGGCTAAAATAACTGGATGGCCTACCTGCCTGTCAGCCTCCCATCGGGGCACAAACTTATCTCGTGCCCTCATTGGTCATGTGCGCGTTCGTGTGTGTTGGAGGAGGGGCTCGGTGAGGAAGTGGCAGATTTTCTCCGGTTGTGTATTTTCAAATTCTAGCGATCTCGAGCCGGTTTCTCAAACTTACCTACCCCACCTTTAATACGCCAAAAATAGAAAACACAATGATTGTTCACGAGTCCCAAAACACGAGTCCAAGTCGAGTCCGAAGTCTTTTGAGCAGGAGTCCAAGTCAAGTCTGAAGTCTCTGTGTGTGCGACTTAAGTGCGACTCGAGTCCGAGTCACAGACTCGAGTCCGAGTCACAGACTCGAGTCCTCATCTCTGACGTGAAGTCATGTGACCGTGCTGTAGTTCCTTTATAGCCCAACATTAGCCACCTTTAGCTTAGCGGGGGTGACGTGAAGTCATGTGACCGTGCTGTAGTTACTTTATAGCCCAACATTAGCCGCCTTTAGCTTAGCGGTGGAGATGTGAAGTCATGTGACCGTGCTGTAGTTCCTTTATAGCCCAACATTAGCCGCCTTTAGCTTAGCGGTGGAGATGTGAAGTCATGTGACCGTGCTGTAGTTCCTTTATAGCCCAACATTAGCCTCCTTTAGCTTAGCGGTGGTGACGTGAAGTCATGTGACCGTGCTGTAGTTCCTTTATAGCCCAACATTAGCCACCTTTAGCTTAGCGGTGGTGACGTGAAGTCATGTGACCGTGCTGTAGTTTCTTTATAGCCCAACGTTGGCCACCTTTAGCTTAGCGGTGGTGACGTGAAGTCATGTGACCGTGCTGTAGTTCATCTATAGCTCAACATTAGCCGCCTTTAGCTTAGCGGTGGTGACGTGAAGTCATGTGACCGTGCTGTAGTTCATTTATAGCCCAACATTAGCCACCTTTAGCTTAGCAGTGGTGACGTGAAGTCATGTGACCGTGCTGTAGTTCATTTATAGCCCAACATTAGCCGCCTTTAGCTTAGCGGTGGTGGCGTGAAGTCATGTGACCGTGCTGTAGTTCCTTTATAGCCCAACATTAGCCACCTTTAGCTTAGCGGTGGTGACGTGAAGTCATGTGACCGTTAGGGCTGTGCATCTTCACTGGTCTCACGATTCGATTACGATTATCCTGTCAACGATTCGATTCAATTCGATATCCCGATGCATCACGATTCATACCAATGCGTTGCATCCTCAATTTTCTATATTACTGCACATGGCTTATTTTTCATCAATGCATACATGCAGTAAATACATATGAACTCTCTTTTTATTATTCAGAAAGTGCTTCAGAAATCAATAACATAAATGTCTTGACATTCATTTATAAACCAAAATAAATGAATTTTATAGGTCTAGCCTCTAGGGATGTCCCGATCACCTTTTTTTGCTCCCGATCCGATTCCGATCATTTGATTTTGACAATCTGCCGATACCGATTTTTCCCGATCCGATCTTTATGCAATGAGAAAAAAAAGATAACAGATAACGGCTGGTCATCCAACGCGATGAACTCAGCTCTCTTGGCTGTTGTTTTTTTGGCCTTTTCACTGTTCTGTGGCAGTTTCTCTTTCCTTTTAAAAGTCTCTGAAAGGTTGCTTCAGTGCCGTTACCCGAGTGGCCGCTGTGTACTCATCCTGTTGTTGTTGGTGTTTGTTTCTCAGGTGGAGTATTAGATTGGTCGCGTTGAACGTAGCTCTGTTCTTTCCACCACGTGGAACCTCCGCCTTGCAAACATTGCATCTGGCTGTTACACTGCCTTCGCTTTCAATTTATAATACTTCCAAACTCCTGACATTTTCTCTGTCCCGACTCCCGAGTCACCAGCTGAACGTAGCCTCTCGTTAGCTGCTACTATTAGACACTGCGCCCACTCTGTTGCCAGATTTGAGAGAAATAAGCAAATGAAAACAAACCCAAAAGAAGCAACACATGATGTTGTGTCATTTTAAACCAAAACTAAGGCCTCAGGATGACTTTAAGACGTGAACATGGTCATTTTAGTTTTGTAACATTAAATTTAAAAAAAACATTTTATAAAATTTTTTTTTTAAAAACCCGATCCCCGATTTTTTTCTCCCGATTCCGATCTTTTGAAAATCACGTGATCGGCTCCGATCCCCGATCACGTGAACGGATCGGGACATCTCTACTAGCCTCCCTATATCTGTGTGTGAAGTTGTTCCATCCTCAAAAACAAAAAATAATGCTTCTGCAGTCTAGCTGCAGCTTCTAGCAACGGCCTTCTGTTAAAGAAAGGACACTGAATGTCCTGTGGCATCACACACAGGACTTGAGTCTGAACACAGCAGACAACAGGAGTATTTACAACAGCATATAACAACTAAAATACTGCATGTAGGTGCACACTCACATTCTCTGTCTTACTGTTACATAAATCCCATGAATGTATGAGATTAAGTTAGCTTCATTATATCTCAGTGATTAAGTGAATAATAACGTTTCTATCGGGTCACTATCAGCCTGTCACTCATTATTTTCAGGGAGGGGGCGGGGTTTGGAGGAACAGAGGAGACGGTGATCGCGGAAGCTTTCTTCCTCCTGCCTTCACAAACTTTACACACGTATATATCGTCTGAAAATTGCTAGAGGACATTCATACTCTGCAATCCAAGACTTAATCAAATCCACCAAAAACCTGATATGATTGTAACGCGATTATTTTTGAAAAACATAAATCCCTGAGTCTCTGAGCCGCAGCGACACGGAGTGATTCAGAGCGGGTCCTTCTGCTGTTGGTTCTGGACTGGTGTTCTTGTGTTGGTGGATAAAGCAGACTGCTCCGTGTTTGGTGTTGCTGTACCGCTGTCACGTCTGTTCCCTGATCTCTGCGTCACCGACCGATTTGATATTAAAGTGACAGAAAAAAAAAACGTTATAGTAAAGCCGCGGCCGGAAAATCAGGAAGCAACGTTACTACGCTATAACCGATTATCTTCCGTCACTGCATCGATACCGAATCGTCCACGTCCGCATCGCAATGCATCGTAGAAACGATTATTTTCAACACCCCTAGTGACCGTGCTGTAGTTCCTTTACAGGCAAACATTAGCTTGAGTGTGTACCTGGTCAGTTTGATGGTGTTGTCCAGAGCCGCAGAAAGCAGCAAGCTGTCGTTCTGTCTGTTGAAGGACAGACCTCGGATCTGTTTGCTGTGGATGGGAACGTACTGACTGGCCTTCATGTTCACCACGCTCACCTTCTTCACCCCACAGCCTGAGGAAGAGGAGACAGGTGAGAGGAGGAAGAGGAGACAGGTGAGAGCAGGAAGAGGAGACAGGTGAGAGGAGGAAAAAGTCACTATTAACAAGTAGGAAAAACAATGCATAGACTCATACAAAAATATGCTTTTCCTGGAGCTCAAAGCGCTTTACAAGTAAAGAAGAACCATAGGGCCTCTTTAAGCTTCTAATTAATCTTTCGGCTGTTTTGTTGTGGTTTCAAAGCAGGAAGTGGGGTCTCCTCACCTGGCACCAGAGTGGAGTGGGGGGAGGGCTGCGAGGCCAGCAGGCAGCTCAGAGGCTCGCAGTACGACAGAACTCTGGATCCTCCGGCAATAGACACCAGAATCGCTTTGGAGAAAATATACTGCGCCGACCTGGAGCTCTGAGAGAGGCCGAGGAGGAGCGAGGAGGAGGAAGAGGAGGAGGAAGAGTAAACTGGGACTCGACCAGCCATCATAGCCCTGAGTTCCTGCAGAGAGAGAGGAGGAGAGGTTTGAAGGGTTTGACAAACAGTTGTAGTGAACTGTCAACGGGGGGGGGAGCCTCGCTGCGGTGCCGTTCTGTAGCCCCTGCTCACAAGCTGATTAAGATCCAAAGCTTTAGTGCGTTTTGAATCAATGCCGAGTACAGCCACACTTGACAGTCTCTTCTCTGTCAACGTAGACCGAATGCTTCTCGTTTTGCGCCGTCCCGTTCAAATGACAATCACATTTCCTCGCTCGCGCCGGGGGAGGGGTTACAAGGCTCTCGTCTTGCGCTGCATTTACGTGCACTCGGACCCTGGCTCAATGACGTCACTCGTGCTGCCAGGCTGAACGCAGGTGGAAGAAGGACAAGCTTCATGTAACTCGTGACATTTTGAAAGAGAGTTGGAGAAAGTATCAGAGCACTGTAAAAGCTGAAAAGATGAGTTACTTCTCTTTAAAACAATCGATGCTATGTTAAACTCTCCTTTATCCACTTGTATTGATGCTTCAACTGAGATGTGTGAAAAATTCCTCTGCTATTTTATAGACAAGATCTCCACTATTAGAGCCAGTATCTCACCACCCTCTTTTGACCCCTCCATTGACTTCACATGCACGGCTGTCTTCCAGCAGTTTGGACCTGTGTCGTTGTCATCTCTCAGTGACATTGTTGCTAAATGAAAACCCTCATCTTGTCCCACAGACCCAGTCCCTCCTCGACTTTTTAAAGAGGTATGGGACACTATTGGACCTAATGTCCATAACATTATAAATAGCAGCCTAGAGTCCGGTTCTGTGCCAGTTTATTTCAAACAAGCGGTTGTGGCACCCCTGATAAAGAAAACTAATCTGGACACTTCTGTCTTCTCAAATTACAGACCCATCTCGAAGCTTCCTTTTATTTCAAAGATATTGGAGAAAACCGTACTCTTACAGCTGCAGTCTTTTATACATGCACACAATATTTTTGATATTTTTCAATCCGGTTTTAAAGTGCTTCACAGCACTGAGTCTGCCCTTCTAAGGGTATTCAATGACCTCCTGGTCACTACAGACCCTGGTGACTCTGCCATCCTTATGCTCTTAGACCTCACAGCTGCTTTTGATACGATTGACCACTCCATCCTTATCTCTCGTCTAGAGCACTGTGTGGGTATCAGGGGCGCTGCCTTAGAGTGGTTCAGGTCCTATCTGTCCAAGAGATCTTTCTCTGTTACGCTTGGTGACTTTACATCCTCTTCTGCCCCCTTATCCTGTGGAGTTCCCCAAGGTTCTATTTTGGGGCCTATTTTATTTTCCTTATACCTTCTCCCCCTTGGACTGATTTTTAGAAAATATGGCGTCTCCTACCACCTTTATGCGGACGACTCCCAATCATATCTACCCCTAAGAAAAAACACTAGCTCTCTGATGCCCCTGGTTGACTGTCTTAATGACATAAAGGCCTGGATGGCGCTAAACTTTTTAAATATAAATGAGAGCAAAACGGAGGTAATTGTGTTTGGACCAAATGGTGATGTCCCTTCCATTGACCTGGGTTCCCTGCAACAGTTTGCAAAACCCATGGTCACAAATCTGGGTGTCAAAATCGACAGTGCTTTTAAATGAGATAAACAGATAAACTCTGTGGTTAAATCCAGTTTTTATCACTTGAGGCTCCTGTCCAAAATTAAACCGGTTTTATCCTTTTTAAACTTTGAGCGTGTAATTCATGCCTTTGTTTCAACTCGTTTAGATTATTGTAATGCACTTTATGCCGGCCTAAACAAGACTTCGCTGGCCCGCCTGCAGCTTGTACAAAACGCTGCGGCGCGGCTGCTTACAGGAACCCGCAAGTTTGACCACATCACACCAGTTCTGGCTTCCCTCCACTGGCTTCGCTCCACTGGCTTCCCTCCACTGGCTGCCCTCCACTGGCTTCCCTCCACTGGCTTCCCTCCACTGGCTTCCCTCCACTGGCTTCCCTCCACTGGCTTCCCTCCACTGGCTTCCCTCCACTGGCTTCCCTCCACTGGCTTCCCTCCACTGGCTTCGCTCCACTGGCTTCCCTCCACTGGCTTCCCTCCACTGGCTCCCTCCACTGGCTTCCCTCCACTGGCTTTCCTCCACTGGCTTCCCTCCACTGGCTTCGCTCCACTGGCTTCCCTCCACTGGCTTCCCTCCACTGGCTTCCCTCCACTGGCTTCCCTCCACTGGCTTCCCTCCACTGGCTTCCCTCCACTGGCTTCCCTCCACTGGCTTCCCTCCACTGGCTTCCCTCCACTGGCTTCCCTCCACTGGCTCCCTCCACTGGCTTCCCTCCACTGGCTTCCCTCCACTGGCTTCCCTCCACTGGCTTCCCTCCACTGGCTTCCCTCCACTGGCTTCCCTCCACTGGCTTCCCTCCACTGGCTTCCCTCCACTGGCTTCCCTCCACTGGCTTCCCTCCACTGGCTCCCTCCACTGGCTTCCCTCCACTGGCTTCCCTTCACTGGCTTCCCTCCACTGGCTTCCCTCCACTGGCTTCCCTCCACTGGCTTCCCTCCACTGGCTTCCCTCCACTGGCTTCCCTCCACTGGCTTCCCTCCACTGGCTTCCCTCCACTGGCTTCCCTTCACTGGCTCCCTCCACTGGCTTCCCTTCACTGGCTCCCTCCACTGGCTTCCCTCCACTGGCTTCCCTCCACTGGCTTCCCTCCACTGGCTTCCCTCCACTGGCTTCCCTCCACTGGCTTCCCTCCACTGGCTTCGCTCCACTGGCTCCCCTCCACTGGCTCCCCTCCACTGGCTTCCTGTCCATTTCAGAGTCCATTTTAAGATTTGATTGTTTGTTTTTAAATCTCTTAATGGGCTGGCCCCAGAGTACATCTCCGACCTCTTACAGGTGTACACCCCCTCAAGGGCTTTGAGGTCGGCTGATCAGCTGCTGCTTGTAGTCCCAAAAACAAAGAAAAAGACCAGGGGAGACCGAGCGTTCTCATCGGTAGCCCCCAGGCTCTGGAACGACCTGCCCCCTCAGGTTAAATTGTCGCCCACTCTTGAAGTTTTTAAGTCCCGCCTAAAACCCCACCTCTTTTCCCTCGCTTACCAGTCAGTCTATGTCTTACCTATTTGTATGCTTTTACTGTCTGTCCATAGCCTTTATGTGCCTTGTATTTATTCTTATGTGTGCTTTTTATCTTTTCTTATGTGTGCTTTTTATCTATTCGTGTAATATTATATTTTATTATAATGTTATGTTCATGGTGAAGCACTTTGGCAAACCCTCTGTTTTTAAACTGTGCTATATAAATAAAGTGGATTGGATCGATTGGATTAGGGATTTTCTCTCATAAATGTCGGATGAGACAAAACGTTTCTTTCAAAACAAAGCTGTCAGCTGGGGGGGCAGCATATTCACCGCCACCCCTCGCCCTCCATGATCAAGCGGCTTCTCCGATTTTGTTGTCAATGTTCAATGACTGAACTTTGTTACTGTTCACATAAGTAAACATTACGCTTGAATGATTTAGTGAGCTGGTGTTATTTTTTTCAAACCGCATGTTGGCTATTTCAGCAGCACGCGCTGTCCAGCTACTCATTGATCCACTATCAGCGTCAGTGCGCCCGCCTGTGCTGTGTGTCATTCACTCTCAACATGGATACAAGTACAATAAGCATTCTTCAGGTGTAGGTAGATTCTCTATTCGGACAGTATAGCCTATTTGTGCGACTGTCGGTCCGATATTGAAAAAAAAAAAAGAAATCTCAAAATAATCTTTTATTTTTATTCTCAAAATAATTGTTCTAATATTATTATTGCTGGCGGACCACCAATGGCCCCTTTGCTGGAGGCATATTCATTACAACAGACACCTTTGGCCCGGGCCGGTGGTGGGGCCGACCCATGTTGTAAGGGTTTGACAAAAGGTTGTTTCGCTCTCTGGGGTCTGAGCTCGTCATGTTTGCCTCGCCTGGGCGGTTTTTGTAGAAATGCTATTAAAACATGAACCCATGTTTGTTTTCAGAACAAGCTAAGCTATCAGCATGTGTAGAATACAGGGATGACACATGGATGTACAAGTAGTTATGAGACATTAAGTACAAAGGAAAAAAACCATTAAGCACCAGCTCCATATTTTTCATGTTAACCTTTGTAACTTCAGACATTTCTAAAAACATGTCTTTTTAAAAGCAGCACAAAATATATATTCAACAGATCAAATGATCAGTGAGTCACACGGGAGAGAAGGTGTGTATGCGATATAGTTAATGAAAAAAATACAATTCCCCCAAAAATAGGGATAAATAGCTAAATATAATAATTAAAAGCGTCTTGAAGTATTTAAAAAAGATATAAAATCATTTAGACTGAATCATATATAATCTTTAGTTTGAAAAATATTATGACAAAGAATTCAATTATTATTATTTTTTATTAAAAGCTGTAAAATAACATATAAATAAAATTAAGTCCCTAAAAACAATACGATAGGAACAAATATTGTAACATTAAAATGAAAACTATCATATATGAATATAATATCATTTATTATGTTTTGTTCTAAGCCCCTATGAAGACATGCCCCTCTCAACCAGTCCAATATTTCAGGTGAATTCACACGTAAAAGTATCCAGGTGTCTTTAAATGCAGAAAGAAATATATACATTCAACTGCTCAAATGATCAGTGAGTCACACGGGAGAGAAGGTGTGTATGCGATCTATATAGTTCATGAACAATAGTTTTTAAAAAAAATCTACAATCCCCAAAAGTCTGTTCCAGGTTTTCTTAGTTCAGTCCACTTTTCATCATCCATTAAAACAGGAAGTGACGAGAGATTAAGTGCAGGACATTTAAATAGTAAAAAACCTGCCAGTTATTCAGTAATCAATTATGTATTTGATATAAATCCAATATGAAAGGAATAAATCACTTTTCAAGGTATTTAAAAAGTAGATACTGAATGAATAATGGTAGATTGAAAATGAAACTGGTACCTGCAGCTCTTGTTGTGCTTGTCCATATTTGTTGGTGACGACCTGCAGCTTCAGTTTGTACTGCGCTGACTCCAGTTCAGCCTTCCTCCTCAGAGACTGCTCCTGCTCCAGAGACCTACACATACACACACACACACATTAAATGTTTTATATTAACCCACCAGTTATAAGAGCAGGGTGTATGCAAGAATCCTGAAGTCAGATGTAAAACCTTTTAAGACCCTTTCCATACATTTTAAGACCTTATCGCCACTTTGAGTTTTAACCGGTTACCTTGGCGACACACTTTACCCCACATTGACTATATACAGCAGGGGTGGCCAACCAGTCAGAGGTTAAGAGCCACATTTTTTCTATGTTACTGCAAAGAGCCACATCAAACACACAGTCACTGATAACGCTTGTTTCAGTTTTTTGTTTTCTGGAGACAAGATTTCAACCACGTCACTGATGCATTTAAGTGGCATTGGGATATATATTTTTTAAATCCTCTGGAGCAGAGAGAGGAGCTGTGGATTATTGTTATTGATTAATGCATCAGTGTTTCTTAGGGTCAAAAACACTAAACTCACAACTTAAAATGAAAGCGTTTAGTTTATTTAATAAAAGAGCTCATGTTCAATGTGAAAAGTGACAGTAGTTATAGATTATTTGCAATTTGGTGCTATGTATATATTAAAAAATATATATTATATATATTTTTGAAACACCTTGAATTTCAGGGGGGGGCGCGGGGCTCCGTTGGCGGGGCGCAGCGCCCCTCCAACACAATGGTAGGGGAAACACTGGATAGTGTTTAATCAACGATAGGTTTTCCCCCCTCAAAGGTGATTGGTTCACTGCATCGCAGGTATTATTGTGATTGGCTCTTGGGTCACATCAAAATTAGACGTGCTGTCATCCTCTCATACTGACTCCTGACACCACACATACACATGTAGGGAGAGCCGGGACGAAAGTAACACGGGACGAAAGTAACACGGGACGAAAGTAACACGGGACGAAAGTAACGGAGCGATTTTATCCGAGCCCAAACAACTTTGACCGGCCAAATTACGTCAGAATTATCAGCATTCAATACTTAACAGACCTACTAAATATCAGGTTTAACTGTCAGGAGTAGCTGGTGTTGTCACGATACCAACATTTTGGTTTCGATACCAAGTCAAGAATTGCGATTCCGATTCTTTTTTGATACTTTTCTTAAAAAAAGGGAAACAGTCTTAAATGTAATTGTTGTGCTTTATTTCACACCAGAACCATAACACACACTTTTAAACAATGAGAACAATAAATAAAATAAATGACAATAATTCGTATTAAATAAAATTAATACATGTCTCACAGACAGGCCTCGTGGTGTCCGTAGGCTTGCCCTCACTGTCAGAGATATAGCTCAAATACTTCCAAATTTCGCTTCTGGAGTCTTTTTTGTCAACAAGCCGAGGCGCAGCGGCAGCTGCACTCCCACTTGCAGCCATGCTTCTCGTTTTCTCACATGCTCTGGCAGCTAGCGCGTGCACGAGAGAGGGGAGGCACTTAGAGCGTGCTTGAGAGGGAGGGACTTGCAGGCAAGGCTGCGGTGCAGGGAGTGGAAGCAGAGCGCTGAACACACACGGCTCTTATTAAAACGGCGCTTTCTCACCGGAGTACTTTTCCCCGTCATTCTTAAAGTACCGATACTAATGAAACGGCGGAATCGTAACGTTTTTAACGGCAGGGTATCGCGGTACCTTTCAAGTATCGGTACACCGTGCAACACTAGTCAGGAGTCAATGTCTCTCCCCCAAACTCACACATATACAATTCGATATGAACTGAAGAGCCGCATGAAACTAGGCAAAGAGCCGCATGCGGCTCGAGAGCCGCGGGTTGGCCACCCCTGATATACAGTATTGATTGTCCTTCCTCCTTATCTTCCAACCATTTGCGATATTTTTGGATCTTTAAGTATTTTTGGAATTTAAGTATTTTTGGAATTTAAGTATTTTTGGAACTTAAGTATTTTTGGAATTTAAGTATTTTTGGAACTTAAGTATTTTTGGAATTTAAGTATTTTTGGAACTTAAGTATTTTTGGAATTTAAGTATTTTTGGAATTTAAGTATTTTTGGAACTTTAAGTATTTTTGGAATTTAAGTATTTTTGGAATTTAAGTATTTTTGGAACTTAAGTATTTTTGGAATTTAAGTATTTTTGGAATTTAAGTATTTTTGGAACTTTAAGTATTTTTGGAATTTAAGTATTTTTGGAATTTACGGTATTTTTGGAACTTCAAGTATTTTTGGATCTTTGGACCCTTTCCATACATTTTAAGACCTCATCGCCACTTGGAGTTTTAACCAGTTACCTTGGCGACACACTTTACCTCACATTGACTATATACAGTATTGATTGTCCTTCCTCCTTATCTTCCAACCATTTGGAAGCAAACTTGCATTTCCCCATAACGATGTTGCTTAGCAACCGGCGTAAACGGACCTTCGCACGCTATCGAGCAGTGAGCGTGCGATGTCCTGTTCAGATGACGTCAAACCCAACGGGATGCCATCAATAAACTACACAGAATCACACTACACACCTACGCCATGATTACATTCAGGCAGACTGTAGAACACAACCTCTCTGGACCATTTATATACTTATTGAAAACAAGCTACAAAATGTAACACCTTGGAAAATGCTGTTTAATACTTGTTAAGACCCCGCGGACCCCCTGGAGATAAGAAGTACTTTATTGATCACAAGTTGTGTTGCAGCGCCATAAAAAGACATGGCATTGTACAATAAGATTAAAAGACAAGAAATAAACGTTTAAAAATGTCAACATCTGAATGAAAGAAAAAAAGGAAAAGATATTGAATTACAAATGTACAGTGACAGAATATAAAGCAGGATACTAAATATACATACGTGTGTGAGGAATGGAATATTACATATTAGATTGGATGTGTTGAGTTATTAGAATCTGTGTATTCTATACTCTTAAAAGTCACTTCCTGTATTGCCTGTATCACGGTGTGTGTGCGTGTGTGTGTGTGTGTGTGTGTGTGTGTGTGTGTGTGTTCCTACGTCATGTGGTAAACGATGCTCACGGTATCCCTACCCTAAGATGGCGACGTCAGTTTAAATGGACCCTAGTGAAGACCCCACTCACTTCTTTAAGATCTCCTGCTCAGAGTTGTCCAGCGCTCTCAGTCTGGGCGCGTACAGCAGAACGATGTCTGACCGCTTCGCCTTCTTGTTGCACTACAGACAAACGACAGATCATCATCATCACATCACAGGTCACCTGTTAGACGCTTTTATCCAAAGCGACTTACACACTCAATACTGTGGACCAGTGGTTCCCAACCTGGGGGGCGCCAAAGATCGCAGGGGGGGCGCCAGGCCTCAGATGATTTGAGGCCAAATATCATATTTAGATTTTTTTTTTTTTACATATAAAAGCAATCCATGATTGTCACTAAAAGCCTCGTCTCTACATCACAATAACATATACACAATAATTGATTAATTCATTTGAATACAAATTCAAGTTAGTATTAAAGGCATAAAAAGACAGAAATGTATAATTCTTTCTTTAATAGAAATGTTTCTTCTGCCCGTAAAGTGTCCAAACCGGGCTTGTCTGGATAAGCGCATTTTTAAAACAGTCGTTGTCCATTCCGGTTTCAGTTGGATTATTTGTCACAGTTGCTCCGATCAGATCGGTCTCCTCCATTTTGTAGATTATTTACGACTTTTGAATCCACGTAAACACATCGGCAAAATCCGGCTTACTTTGAGCATGTGTTTTAAACAGTTTAATCCCTTTGTGAATTGTTTCCACTTCCGCCGTCCTTTAATTTCTTCATACAGCGAGAATCCAAATGAATTAATCCTGACTCCAATAACCATCAAAGTCACTCCAATAGTGCTCCTTAATTACGCTTTCATGCTCCTTTAACAAAATACTTCACACTCATCCAGTTTGTGACAGAAGTTGTAGCTTTTTGAGACTTTTAAACTTTAATTACCGCTGATGCCTCCCCCCCCCCCCTCTGAGGGACGAACAATGTAAACAATGTCTTTGTTTGTTTTTTTACTGCTGAATTTGATTCCATTCTATTTCTATGTAAAACGACTATTTGTTATTATTTTCAATATGTTTTAATGTTATAATAGTTTTCTTATAATAGTTCTCTATCTGTGTTCTTAATGTTTGTCTTGCTTTTATGTCTGCACCACGACATCAAGTCTAATTCCTCGTACGTGTCGACCCACCTGGTGATAAACCTGATTTACTAAGTCATCACATTCCATGTACTTGTGAAGACTCTCCTCGCACTATTTCTATTCTATCTGTAATCACTTGCACTTTTGTATCAGTGTTATTGAGTTGCTCTGTTGGAGCGTCGTCATATCTCCACTGTAGCTCTGAACACATGGCAATAACAGCCTTGAGCCCTGTCGCCGCCCGTCTCTCTCTCACCTGTGGACATTTGGCGGCGGACCCCTGAGCTTTGAGCCAGCGTGTGATGCAGGTGAACCCGAACAGGTGTCCGCAGCGCAGGGCGGAGATTCGGTGCTCGCCTGCTGTCGTCCACGGCTCGAAGCAGATGGAGCAGACGTCGCCTTCGCCTTCTTCTCCCGGAGAAGACAAGGGGGCGGGAGCCGGGGGAGCGAGGAGCGGCTGGAGGAGGAGATGAGAGTGTCAGCTTCATTGATAAGGTTTAGTGTATGTGTTCATAGTGGCGTGGACGGTCCCCATCGATCAACTGTCACAACAAACAGTACATGGAGCCGCTTTAGCCGACATGGCTACTTTCCAGCTGGTGTCCAGACGATAACAGAAACCTTTTTAAATCACAACACATCAACAGCATTAGTTATAAAGACAGGATGGAAGGCAAGTAGATAGAGGAGAAAGGATACAAGAGAACCGAGGGGCAAGATAAGAACGCACACAGAAAGCCTACATTGTAACTTATGACGTGATTATATGACATATGTACTTCTAACCTACTCAGTAGAACACAAAGCGTTACAAATGTGCTCCTACGTGACAAATTACAACATCAAAAAACGGTATTTGTTTGTGAATACAAAAAAACGGAATATTATAAGATATACTTGGTCTCTTAATCATTATTATTACTATGATATTGCCATGCTGTTGTATCTATTGTGTGAAAGTGCTATTCATGTGAAGCTGTTGTTACCTGTGTGCTTTGATGCGTAATTTGATGCGTGCTCTCAGCGTCTGCAGCTGAACTTGAATCTGAACACAGACGGAGAAAAAGAGAGAAATCAAACTGGGATGTTTCGACTCAGACTTGTGAATGAAAACAAACTGTGTGTGAGACTCACTGCTTGGAGCGGCTTCCTGGGGTTGTGTGTGCTGGGCGTTAAGACGAGGGCTAGCAGGCAACACCGGGGGGTCGACGGGCTCCAGAGCAGCTCCCTGACCCCCCCGCTCTTCCTCCTCCTCCTCCTCCTCATCAGACTCGCTGATCTCCGTGGTGCTGCCGGAGCCCGGCTCAGCCGCCGAGGCAAATGGAGCTCGCAGCAGGAAGTCTGGGAATCCTCTAGAAGGCGCTGCAGTCTGGCTGGGGTAATGCACCCTGAGACCCTGCCTAACACACACACACACACACACACACACACACACACACACACACACACACACACACACACACACACACACACACACACACACACACACACACACACACACCACACACACACACACACACACACACACACCACACACACACACACACACACACACACACACACACCACACACACACACACACACACACACACACACACACACACACACACACACACACACACACACACACACACACACACACACACACACACACACACACACACACACACACACACACACACACACACACACACACACACACACACACACTTACATGTTGAACTCAAATACCTGTACTTTCTACTTCTTACATGTTGAACCCAAATACCTGTACTTTCTACTTCTTACATGTTGAACTCAAATACCTGTACTTTCTACTTCTTACATGTTGAACTCAAATACCTGTACTTTCTACTTCTCACATGTTGAACTCAAATACCTGTACTTTCTACTTCTTACATGTTGAACCCAAATACCTGTACTTTCTACTTCTTACATGTTGAACTCAAATACCTGTACTTTTTACTTCTTACATGTTGAACTCAAATACCTGTACTTTCTACTTCTTACATGTTGAACTCAAATACCTGTACTTTCTACTTCTTACATGTTGAACTCAAATACCTGTACTTTCTACTTCTTACATGTTGAACACAAATACCTGTACTTTCTACTTCTTACATGTTGAACACAAATACCTGTACTTTTTTAACTTCTCACATGTTGAACTCAAATACCTGTACTTTCTACTTCTTACATGTTGAACTCAAATACCTGTACTTTCTACTTCTTACATGTTGAACTCAAATACCTGTACTTTCTACTTCTTACATGTTGAACACAAATACCTGTACTTTCTACTTCTTACATGTTGAACTCAAATACCTGTACTTTCTACTTCTTACATGTTGAACTCAAATACCTGTACTTTCTACTTCTTACATGTTGAACACAAATACTTGTACTTTCTACTTCTTACATGTTGAACACAAATACCTGTACTTTCTACTTCTTACATGTTGAACTCAAATACCTGTACTTTCTACTTCTCACATGTTGAACACAAATACCTGTACTTTCTACTTCTCACATGTTGAACACAAATACTTGTACTTTCTACTTCTTACATGTTGAACACAAATACCTGTACTTTCTACTTCTCACATGTTGAACACAAATACTTGTACTTTCTACTTCTTACATGTTGAACTCAAATACCTGTACTTTCTACTTCTTACATGTTGAACTCAAATACTTGTACTTTCTACTTCTTACATGTTGAACACAAATACCTGTACTTTCTACTTCTTACATGTTGAACACAAATACCTGTACTTTCTACTTCTTACATGTTGAACACAAATACCTGTACTTTCTACTTCTTACATGTTGAACACAAATACCTGTACTTTCTACTTCTTACATGTTGAACCCAAATACCTGTACTTTCTACTTCTTACATGTTGAACTCAAATACCTGTACTTTCTACTTCTCACATGTTGAACTCAAATACCTGTACTTTCTACTTCTTACATGTTGAACACAAATACCTGTACTTTCTACTTCTTACATGTTGAACTCAAATACCTGTACTTTCTACTTCTCACATGTTGAACACAAATACCTGTACTTTCTACTTCTTACATGTTGAACTCAAATACCTGTACTTTCTACTTCTCACATGTTGAACACAAATAAAACAATAAGTGTTGCTATGCAACCGGGTGAAGCCACAAAGTATAGCGCAGCATTATGCATTTGTTTACATGCCCACCGGAACCCCGAGGCATTACCAACAGATCAACGCACAATCAACCCATCCAGGACATCTCTTTCTCCACATTAAGTGTTAGACATTAGAATGGACTATTCTTGTCTGTCTCATAAATTGCACAACTGATGTGGTATTGCGCTAAGCGGAAATTATTTTGACCGGAGAGATTTAGATTTGCCGGTCTTCAGCATATTTTACCGGTCGTAGTCCGGTAATTACCGGCTAACGGGAACTCTGGTTTTGACCTTTAATCTCCGGGTCCGTTTGCTTTGAGATTTGATTGTGATCGGTGGTTTGCTGTCACTCACTCAAGAACCCCTGACATGAGAGCCGCGCGACTTTTCCTTTTGTAGCAAGCAGCAAAATAATTGTAACATGACGTGTTTGAGTTAATTTGCCTACTTAGTATCGCACGTCCTGCGATGTGACTATCGCGCATATCGCGATTATCGTCACGACACATCGTGCAGCCCTAGTCCAAACCTTTAAGAGTGAAAAGAACGACTGAAGACCCATCTTCTTACATTGGCTTCTGTTTCTACTCGAGCTGTGTGTGATGTGTTCTTGTGTTTGTGCCTTTGGGGGCTCCACGTGGTCTGTGTTGGGTTTTATGTTAAGAATCAGGTTTATTACGTACGAGGAGTTTGACTTGGTGTCGTGGTGCAGACATAAAAGTAAAACTAAAATAAAAAAAGCACAGATAGAGAACTACTTTAAGAAAACTATAATAACATAAATAGAATGGAATACAATTCGGCAGTAACAAAAGGAAAACAGATCGTGTGTTAATTTAACCTAATTAATTTTTGTATTTCTGTGAAAGATGCTTTACTAAATAAACGTATTATATGAGGATCTCACCTGAGTCTCCTGCGCATGGGACCCCCTTGAGCAGCTGATCCCACTGCCCTCTGGCTGAAGGCCCAGGTGGCAGGAAGTCTGGGAGGAGATCGAGCCGTCGCCTGTTCTCTCTGATCACCTTCATCGTCATCGTCTTCGTCCACCTCCGTGCTGCTGCCGGAGTCCAGGATGATGAGCGAGGAGCCCACCTCCATGGCCTCCATCTGCAGGGAGAGGGGGGGGCCATCAATCAAAGTTTAAAAGGTCCCCTATTATACTGTGTTTCATCAGTATATCCCAGCTCTCAGATATATACAGAGCCGGTCTCTGATTGGCTGAAACACCAAACAGATCGTTGCAGCATTACCCATAATCCCCTCTGTTTCAGCCCTGTTTCCAAAGTGCTGATTCTCTGTCTGTTACTTTAGATGAAAATAAGGAGCCCCTCCCCACGCCCCTCTGAGAGACATTTGGTTACAAAGAACTCAATGGTGCTCTAGGAGGAGATTCAGGTGATAAGGGGGGGGGGGGTTACCTTGGTTGCTGATTGGCTAATGGTTACACAAGACAAGACATCGTTATGACATCATCAAGTGGCCAAAATCTGATCAGCTCATTTTCAGACAGGTTTTTATAGAAATGGATCAAAAAGAGAGAGAATCTTTGTTCCTGAAACTTTCAGAGTCTCTTTCCACAGAGGGGACACATGTTGATGTAGAAGAGACATGGAGAAGAGGGGACACATGTTGATGTAGAAGAGACATGAGGAAGAGGGGACACATGTTGATGAAGAAGAGACATGGAGAAGAGGGGACACATGTTGATGTAGAAGAGACATGAAGAAGAGGGGACACATGTTGATGTAGAAGAGACATGAAGAAGAGGGGACACATGTTGATGTAGAAGAGACATGAAGAAGAGGGGACACATGTTGATGTAGAAGAGACATGAAGAAGAGGGGACACATGTTGATGTAGAAGAGACATGAAGAAGAGGGGACACATGTTGATGTAGAAGAGACATGGAGAAGAGGGGACACATGTTGATGTAGAAGAGACATGAAGAAGAGGGGACACATGTTGATGAAAGAAGAGACATGAAGAAGAGGGGACACATGTTGATGTAGAAGAGACATGAAGAAGAGGGGACACATGTTGATGAAGAAGAGACATGAGAAGAGGGGGACACATGTTATGTAGAAGAGACATGAAGAAGAGGGGACACATGTTGATGTAGAAGAGACACGAAGAAGAGGGGACACATGTTGATGTAGAAGAGACACGAAGAAGAGGGGACACATGTTGATGTAGAAGAGACATGAAGAAGAGGGGACACATGTTGATGAAGAAGAGACATGAAGAAGAGGGGACACATGTTGATGAAGAAGAGACATGGAGAAGAGGGGACACATGTTGATGTAGAAGAGACATGAAGAAGAGGGGACACATGTTGATGAAGAAGAGACATGGAGAAGAGGCGACACATGTTGATGTAGAAGAGACATGAAAAAGAGGGGACACATGTTGATGTAGAAGAGACATGAAGAAGAGGGGACACATGTTGATGAAGAAGAGACATGAAGAAGAGGGGACACATGTTGATGTAGAAGAGACATGAAGAAGAGGGGACACATGTTGATGAAGAAGAGACATGGAGAAGAGGGGACACATGTTGATGTAGAAGAGACATGAAGAAGAGGGGACACATGTTGATGTAGAAGAGACACGAAGAAGAGGGGACACATGTTGATGTAGAAGAGACACGAAGAAGAGGGGACCACATGTTGATGTAGAAGAGACATGAAGAAGAGGGGACACATGTTGATGTAGAAGAGACATGGAGAAGAGGGGACAACATGTTGATGTAAGAAGAGACATGAAGAAAGAGGGGACACGTGTTGATGTAGAAGAGACATGAAGAAGAGGGGACACGTGTTGATGTAGAAGAGACATGAAGAAGAGGGGACACGTGTTGATGTAGAAGAGACATGAAGAAGAGGGGACACGTGTTGATGTAGAAGAGACATGAAGAAGAGGGGACACATGTTGATGTAGAAGAGACACGAAGAAGAGGGGACACATGTTGATGTAGAAGAGACATGAAGAAGAGGGGGACACATGTTGATGTAGAAAGAGACATGAAGAGAGGGGACACATGTTGATGTAGAAGAGACATGAAGAAAGAGGGGACACATGTTGATGTAGAAGAGACATGAAGAAGAGGGGACACATGTTGATGTAGAAGAGACACGAAGAAGAGGGGACACATGTTGATGAAGATAGAGACATGAAGAAGAGGAGGACACATGTTGATGTAGAAGAGACATGAAGAAGAGGGGACACATGTTTGATGTAGAAGAGACATGAAAAAGAGGGGGACACATGTTGATGTAGAAGAGACATGAGAAGAGGGGACACATGTTGATGGAGAAGAGACATGAAGAAGAAGAGACACATGATGATGAAGAAGAGACATGAAGAAGAGGGGACACATGTTGATGTAGAAGAGACATGAAGAAGAGGGGACACATGTTGATGTAGAAGAGACATGAAGAAGAGGGGGACACATGTTGATGTAGAAGAGACATGAAGAAGAGGGGACACATGTTGATGTAGAAGAGGACATGAAGAAGAGGGGACACATGATGATGAAGAAGAGACATGAAGAAGAGGGGACACATGTTGATGTAGAAGAGACATGAAGAAGAGGGGACACATGTTGATGTAGAAGAGACATGAAGAAGAGGGGACACATGTTGATGTAGAAGAGACATGAAGAAGAGGGGACACATGTTGATGTATAGAAGAGACGTGAAGAAGAGGGGACACATGTTGATGTAGAAGAGACATGAAGAAGAGGGGACACATGATGATGAAGAAGAGACACGAAGAAGAGGGGACACATGATGATGAAGAAGAGACACGAAGAAGAGGGGACACATGTTGATGTAGAAGAGACACGAAGAAGAGGGGACACATGTTGATGTAGAAGAGACATGAAGAAGAGGGGACACATGTTGATGAAGAAGAGACACGAAGAAGAGGGGACACATGTTGATGTAGAAGAGACACGAAGAAGAGGGGGACACATGTGATGTAGAAGAGACATGAAGAAGAGTGGGACACATGTTGATGAAGAAGAGACACGAAAGAAGAGGGGACACATGATGATGAAGAAGAGACATGAAGAAGAGACACGGAGAAGAGGGGACACATGTTGATGTAGAAGAGACATGAAGAAGAGGGGACACATGTTGATGTAGAAGAGACATGGAGAAGAGGGGACACATGTTGATGTAGAAGAGACATGAAGAAGAGGGGACACATGTTGATGTAGAAGAGACATGAAGAAGAGGGGACACATGTTGATGTAGAAGAGACATGGAAGAAGAGGGGGACACATGTTGATGTAGAAGAGACATGAAGAAGAGGGGACACATGTTGATGTAGAAGAGACATGAAGAAGAGGGGGAACACATGTTGATGTAGAAGAGACATGAAGAAGAGGGGAAACATGTTGATGTAGAAGAGACATGAAGAAGAGGGGACACATGTTGATGTAGAAGAGACATGAAGAAGAGGGGACACATGTTGATGTAGAAGAGACATGAAGAAGAGGGGACACATGTTGATGTAGAAGAGACATGAAGAAGAGGGGGGACACATGTTGATGTAGAAGGAGACATGAAGAAGAGGGGACACATGTTGATGTAGAAGAGACGAGACATGAAGAAGAGGGGACACATGTTGATGTAGAAGAGACATGAAGAACAGGGGACACATGTTGATGTAGAAGAGACATGAAGAAGAGGGGGACACATGTTGATGTAGAAGAGACATGAAGAAACAGGGGACACATGTGATGTAGAAGAGACGTGAAGAAGAGGGGACACATGTTGATGTAGAAGAGACATGGAGAAGAGGGGACACATTGTTGATGTAGAAGAGACATGAAGAAGAGGGGACACATGTTGATGTAGAAGAGACATGAAGAAGAGGGGACACATGTTGATGTAGAAAGAGACATGAAGAAGAGGGGACACATGTTGATGTAGAAGAGACATGAAGAAGAGGGGACACATGTTGATGTAGAAGAGACATGGAGAAGAGGGGGACACATGTTGGATGTAGAAGAGACATGAAGAAGAGGGGACACATGTTGATGTAGAAGAGACATGAAGAAGAGGGGACACATGTTGATGTAGAAGAGACATGAAGAAGAGGGGACACATGTTGGTGGACACATGTTGATGTAGAGGATACATGAAGAAGAGGAGACACATGTTGATGTAGAAAGAGACATGAAGAAGAGGGGACACATGTTGATGTGGAAGAGACATGAAGAAGAGGGGGACCACATGTTGATGTAGAAGAGACATGAAGAAGAGGGGACACATGTGATTGTAAGAAGAGGACATGAAGAAGAGGGGACACATGTTGATGTAGAGGAGACATGAAGAAGAGGGGAAACATGTTGATGTAGAAGAGACATGAAGAAGAGGGGACACATGTTGATGTGGAAGAGACATGAAAGAAGAGGGGACACATGTTGATGTAGAAGAGACATGAAGAAGAGGGGACACATGTTGATGTAGAAGAGACATGGAGAAGAGGGGACACATGTTGTGTAGAAGAGGACATGAGAAGAGGGGACACATGTTGATGTGGAAGAGACATGAAGAAGAGGGGACACATGTTGATGCAGAAGAGACATGAAGAAGAGGGGACACATGTTGATGAAGAAGAGACATGAAGAAGAGGGGACACATGTTGATGTAGAAGAGACATGGAGAAGAGGGGACACATGTTGATGTAGAAGAGACATGAAGAAGAGGGGACACATGTTGATGTAGAAGAGACATGAAGAAGAGGGGACACATGTTGATAGAAGAGACATGAAGAAGAGGGGACACATGTTGATAGAAGAGACATGAAAAAGAGGGGACACATGTTGATGTAGAAGAGACATGAAGAAGAGGGGACACATGTTGGATGGTTTGTGGAAAGGTGGGAACGCCAAAAATGATGTCTTTGTGTGTTTTGGTTGTCATGAAGGCTCTGATGTGGAAATGTGGAGTAGGGTTTGAAAGTTCACAAGCTGTGCATGTTGGGATGTTCTGCCTCAAATACTAAGTCAAATGTTCAATACAGTTTAATATTATCTCAGGATAAACGCTTCCTTGTACCTTTCTCCTACTTCTTAAGTTAAATAAAGTATTAAAAAAGTATATTGGATCAGTTTTGTTTTTCAGAGAAACTCATGAAAAGTTAACTTTCACAGACACGTGGTTGTCACTGCACGAAGCTAGAAACAAGTCATGGTCTGATAGGAGGATATGAGGCATTGCAGTTCATAAAAGGAGTAAAATAGCCTAAATTAGTACTGAAATGTGGGGGGGAAAGTCTTAAAAATACCCCCAAATGCATGTAACAAATATATACAAAATGGCCAAAAAACACACATATGATGATCTTATAGAATGAGTTGCAGTGCTGCAGATTGAACAATGAGTTGAGTACAATGCAAGATAAGGCAGCAGAACCATTCCTCCACAAACACCAGAACACTGACATTTCACTGCACAACCAATACTTGTACTTTAAATTCAATTAAAAGCCTTTACGGTGTGATTTCATAACTATTGGTTCACCAAATGCTTCGATACTTATTTCACAACTGCTGCCTGATAAGAGATGATATCAAAGGAGGTGTTTGTCTGGTTCTGCAGTGCAAACCCTGCAGTCCAAAGTTACACAACCTAGCATGTTGTGCTAACTAGCCAGCTAACGTGTATATGTATAGATAGATGGACAGAAACAACAGAGCCAACAGAAGATCTTTGGGTTTAAAATCATACTTAAGACAGGGCTATGTTGAACCATGTATACAGTAAGTAAGCAACGTTACATAACAATTAAAAAATATAAAACAATAATATAATTAACCGTTAAGATCACATGGTAACCACGGACGCTGGAGTTAGCTTAGCTTAGCATATGCGGTTCTCTTTACACAATGTGGGTCTTTATTGGAGTCAAGACATATAATAATAATATATTTGATTAATCAAGCGTTTTATCAAGTGATCAAAGATGCTGTTAATGCTAACTATGGTGGTTTTAGTGTAAATACGCTAAAGAAAATGGGTCAGATTCTTGTTAGCACCACTAGCTAACATTTGTAGATCATTAATTACATTCCTACCACACTAAATGTAAATAACACTATTTTTAAATGTTGTAAGCTATAATTTGGCCCTTCATTGTGTCTAATTTGCCAGATAGCCTACATATAGTTATATTTCAGGGTCAACTTGTATAACTGTTAGTTCAGTTTCTGCTGAGATGTATTTTCCATTTTGATATGTTAGTCCGCTTTTTATATTTAAATGTATGCGCAATGCCTCGTTTAAACACGCTGATGTCACGAAACCCAATTCAGGATCAATAACGTGTATCTTATCTTATTTAGCTCGCTAGCTACTGCAAACTGGTAATAGCAGCATTAGCATTGTTAGCATCGTTAGCACGGTGAGAACCAGACACTACCTGTGGAAAGTGAGGGTTTAACAGCCGCAGATCGCCCTCTTGATAACGGCACACAGTAACATCATGGCTCCACTGCTAACACACAACTTAAAAAGGTCCGTTTTTCTGTGAGTTTGTATCAGGGTTTACTTCCAGGAGCGTTATCGAGAAACCGCGGGTCAGGGATCGAATCTCCCGGCGCTCAGATCACTCTGCTCCGCCCCATCCTGCCGCCGCGTCATCACCCCGTCATCACCAGAGATCCTATGAGGAGAAGATGGACACCATGAAGAGGCAGAATATTGTTTTTTTAAAGAAATGTAATTATTCAATTAATGGAAACACATTTTTGCTCATTAATTAAGTTAAGGGGGTTTCTTTTAATATGAAACACAAACAACAACCCGAAAAACAATGACGCGTGCATTACGTCACTGTTCAATTACCTACTATTAGACATAATTCAGCCAGCACTTTCACTGCGTCATCACTGCGTCATCAACAGAGATCCTGTGAGGAGAAGATGGACACCACGAAGAGGCAGATTTGTTTTAATAATAATAATAATTTTAACAAAGAGATGCAAAACAGGTAGGCCTACAACAAATTCAAATAGATACATTCTCAAACAGTCTCTGTCATGTTCAACAGGGGCAAGAAGAAGTTTAAAACAAACGTTTCTGGTCCTACCCCCGTCTAGCGTAAATTTTTCTTGAAAATAAAAGATTAGGTCATCGGCATCAGCATAGATATATATAAACCATAGACTGTATATGATATAAACACTAGATGGCTCATGGGAGATTTTCCAGCGTAGCTGACCGGCCGCCATCTTGCTACAGTTAACAGTTACTCTGATTCGCGTTATGGTAGCTGTTGTAAGGTGAGTGATCTGTAGTGATGGCAAAATGAAGCTTTGAATGAAGCGTCGAACCACTTGGACAATTGTGTCGGAAATAGGTTCATTTCTCGAAGCTTCAGTTACAGCGACCTCTCCTGGCGAAGTGCAAGGCTGCAGTGGGTTTAACGTATCTTTGCCTTGAAAAATATTCGACACTAAGACTGAATATCATATTCTATTTGCAATTAAAGATTGATAATTGTGTGTATTGGGTTATTGAGAAGAGACTAGAGAGTGCTGGACATTTGTTGGGGAGGAGAGGGCCTTTTAACAGTTATTAAAGTATTAAAGTTGAAAAGCAATGATTACAAGTACATCCATTCCGGGCTTTGAACCAGCTGCGCAGGGGACATCGCCGCATTCGGGCCACCGGCTCTACCCACTGGGCTATCTATTCGTTAAACCATTGGACTGTTTTTATATTACTGATAATTGTCTTTTTGTTCAGAACTTCTCCACATTTCGAAGTGTTTCCCGAGCCAGAACGACCTGGCTTGCTCTATAACGATACTACAATTTAAATGCAATACCAACAACAACTCAACAGCAACAACACAAACTACGACAACAACCCACACATTGCGCATTGTTTAGAGTGGTCATAAAGTGTTGAAGCGCTCAAATTCAAAACGGTTTCAACCTGTCACCTGTCAGAATCGAGACGAGGCAGTGCATTGAATCGCGTGAATGGACCGCGAACCAGTGAGTGATTCATTCAGGAAATGAAGCAGTTGCTGGTTCGGACGTCACATGCAGGGCCGCCCCTGGCCAACTTGGGGCCCCAAGCGACATTGTGAGATGAGGCCCCCCCCCCAATCGACAGGAGTGAACTTTTTTTTTTTGGAAACAAAGTAGGCTACTTTGCAAATATAATTCCTGTTTATTATTATTATTATTATCAACGGTTACTTTTTTATACAGTGAGGTAAATGGTAAATGTGCATGTATGTCGTTCAGTATGGGTTTACAGGTGAATTTTGCATTTCCTGCCAAATACTAGCCTCAAAAAGATAAAAACATAATTAATGCAAATAAACTACTTCTACTAATAATGATAATCATAATCAATTCAATAATAAAAAATACTATATTGTTTTATTATAATATAGTTGTAATATAGTCAAGACAAAACATGCTTATGACATGCTCAAAAACTGATATTTCTTAAATCTGTATTCTAGTTCTCTGTCAGCAATGTATCAACAACTACACACACATTTCTATCAGTATTTCTCTGTGTTGTGGTTGACATGATGATGACTGTTAGGAGTAAGGGGAGAGGCTGAGCATCACCATGAAATGTGCAAATTGACATAAAAATGAATAAAAGGGGAAAAAATGCTCCATGTTTTTTAGGCTGTAAACTTTAACTGTTATGTAAGCCAACTAGACAGACAGTGTATCTCTCTTCCTCCTGTACATTAGCAGATAAGAGGCATAACATACTTGAATGAATGGTAAATAAAGAATGCTGGAAATAACTGCATCTCCATTAGCCTGTATGCTATGCAGAGACTGCCTTCTTCATCTCGTGAATTGCAGCTGATGTTTTAATATGGCAATTGGCAATTTGACTTATACAACATTCGTAAGTTGTACATTTGACTCATACAATAACCCACCTTCGAGTGGTGCTCTAGTTTCTTCATGTTTTGTTTTTTGCGCCGGACTGAAACTGTCTTTTCACCGACATCTCTTCACCTGCACTAGTGGCCGTATCAAAGCCGTGATTGGTCAGATGTCGATTCATTGCAACGGTGTCGGGTTACAAACGTGCTCCTCTTGTCAGCTCTCACGGCCCGTCCACACAGCGGCGTGCGCCGCACTCTCACTCTCGCGGGGGGTGCGCGGATAACTGAGCGGAGAACTGCGCACAGCAGCTGAGGCCCTCTGGGCGGGGCCCCCTGCGCAAGGCGGGGCCCCATGCAGCCTGCGTGATTGGCCTGTAGGGAGGGGCGGCCCTGGTCACATGTCACGTGATTTGAAGCAGTTGCTGGTTCGGACGTCACATGTCACGTGATTTGAAGCAAGCTTCGAAGCACTGCTTCTATGGAATAGGAAGTCCAGGGTTGAAGCTCCGTTCGAAGCTTCAGTGTCAAACTGTCATCACTAGTGATCTGCACAAAAATACTCTTAACTCGCTGAAATCTTGACTGATTTACAAACGGTTTGGTTTATTCTAAACATTATTAGCATGGCTATGATACAGGATGCTTGGACATGTTGAAATAGCAGCTTTTCTTTGTGTATGTGGTTGTATTTATTAGCTGGCTAATAACAAGAGGCTGTGAGTGAGACCTAGTATTACAAAGTTGACCCAGCAACTTTACACCAGTGGGAGAGGCAGAACTGCTCTTTCTTTTCAACATAACTTAAGTTACACACGATTTCTTCCAAGTGGTTTGGCTTGTTAAAAACATCTTGCATTATGATGATACAGGAATTTGCTGGCTTTGTGTTTACAGAAGTACCTGACTATGCCGGACTTTTGTGCAGCCTACGGCTGCTCTAATCACCGCAGTCTGCAAACAAGAACCCGTGGGATCACCTTTCACCTGTAAGATATGACAATATTATGACTAAAATTAGGATAATCGTTAATTACTTAGTGGATGTATGTACATTACAAGTCCTGCTACACAGGATCAGTGGGGCTATGTGAGATAATAATATTGCAAGATTGTTGTTGACCCAGCTTCTTTAGAATATGTTGCTACCATTTCTTTACACAATTATTTAATGTTTCTTTTGGACACCTTTTTTATTACTCTTAGTGTGGTTGTCTTATTCTTAAAGTAGGCTATACATACATACATGCATACATACCAAAAATATGATAATTTCGGTGTGTATTTTTGTCCCTGATGTTTCTTCTTCTTCTTTGTTTAATGGCGAATCGCTACCACTAGGAGCATATATCGCCACCTACTATGTATTTATTAAATCTTCATGTTCCATGAGACGCAGCACTATGTTCCCCACATATGTTTATGTTTGCTCAGTCTAATAAACCCATAACATGATTGTGAAAGAATACCAAAGCTGAGGCTGGACGATGATTGATTGTTGGTGTGCCATGTGTCACCGTGTGTCTTATTGGTTTTGTGTTATACTGTATTTTATTGTGTGCAGCTGGTCCTTATCTCCAAGACACATTTAAAACAAATAACCTTGAACCTTGAAGCCCCATCTCTCCCCACCTGCTCCTGCTTCCTACATCCCCTCCACACCACACCAAGTTGTTCTTCTTAATAATAATAATAATGCATTTATTTTGGGAGGCCGCCTTTCCCAAGGACCCAAGGACACCTTACAGGGGCATAGGGGCAATATAGGGAACAATTTAAACAGTGAATTTTGTGATATATCAGCCGGGGTGAGACAAGACAAACCACAAATGGACTACAGAAGGACACAAAAGGACACATGGTACAGTTTATATTATTCTTGGTCTTTTTTCAATAACATATTTCAAAGGTTCTGGATTTGTTTACAAATCTAGAAACTAAATACAAAACTAGTATAGTAATATGAAGATCTCATGTCAAAAATAATTGTGATAAATTATCTGATTAATGTTATTTTCATATGAAAGTCCATGATTATAAGTATGCAGTATCATAACTACATCTTTGATGTTTATAAAAAACCAAACCGTTTGAAAATGGGTTGAAAATTGAGCAAGCTATGGTTATTAAAATAGTAAACCATAATGCTATGAATGAGAGAACTCCCTGTAGCAAGATGGCGGCCAAGTGGCAACGTCGGTCTCCATTGGCC